AATGGGAGCCCTGGCGTAACAACAGAAATTTTATCCCCAACCTCTGGTCTATTTGACTCCGCCCTATTCCTCGGCTGCTTTTACCTCTCCGATATTTCCCCCCACACCTCGATCCGAGACAGCCCGTTCTTCTAGACAAAATAATAAAGATTTTGTTTTCTTTTTTACTGGACTGCCTGTGTCTTTTGTCTTCATTTCTTCCAGGGACTGGCGGTGTACACTGCCACAACTTTTGTGTTCTTGTTTTCTGGGATTGTAAAATGAATATGGGGCACTGAATTTGTGAATGACCATAAAAGGTCAGGTTGGTTTATTGCAACATAAATACTCAGTATCACAAGCAGTATAACTGCAGTCTGAGCTGTGGACACAGTAGTTCATGTCTTTTAAATTTTGCCTGCGTGTCTTCCACCAGGCTAACCTGTTGGACACGAGCATAACAGCAATGATTTACTGTTCTTAGAATAACACTTACAGAATTTCTCATAACAGACAATCTTGCCATAACATCCTGTCTGCAGAAAAGTAGCATAGGTGCGCACGTGTAAGCGCATGCATGCATTTGTTTTCATATATTCTCTATCCCCCCCCTGATATCTAGGAATGTTTAAAGCCGTAAAGGGTCATACTTCAACAATACTCCGAAAATCCTAGTCCTGTCCAGGCTCCGTAATCATCACCTTCCAACTCTTCCTGCTTTAAAACACACCTGTCAAGGTAAGAACGACCTCTGACCTCGCAGCTGGTCTGTCATCTGAGTTGTAGCTGTTCACCACCTGCAGCATAGTTGTTCGAGCAAGAAGTGTCCCGTTAGCGTCACTGGCTGTAAGTGGATGGTATACCTGGCAGCTTTTATTGTGACACGAACGTGTGATCTGGTGGTTTTTAAGTTTAATGTAGAGGAGAAGAGGCTTAATTTTATAGCAATTTCAATAACTACTCTTTCTTGTAACATTACACTGTATGTCGGAGATGAATTAGCATTAGAATAATCGTATAAACACAGAGGATAAGCCCACTGTGTTAACTCCTACATACTATTACACATCATTCTTATTTTGTCAGCTTCTCCCCTTATTACCTCCTGTGCCTGGCACTCTATTTTTTTGCCTTTATCTGCAGCTTACCTCATCAGGCCATCAGTTAAAGCACAGGCAAATCATGTTACTGTTACTACGAAGGCCTCTCAAGAACCAGAACCAGTGGCTTCCAGTGTCCTTTTCTTCACACTTTTCTCATTCTCACAACAACATGGATTATTGGAACCATTTCCAGTGCTCTGGTGAGACCAAGAGAAATTTGGTTCAGATGGTGTCAAGCATATGTGGTGGCAACCAGGTGTTCTGGGGCTGCATGAGAGCTGCCGGCACTGGGAAGCTACAGTTCATTGAGGGAACCATGAATGCCATCCTGTACTGTGACATACTGAAGCAGAGCATGATCCCCTCCCTTTGGAGACTGGGCCGCAGGGCAGTATTCCAACATGATAAAGACCCCAAACACACCTCCAAGACGACCACTGCCTTGCTGAAGAAGCTGAGGGTAAAGGTGATGGACTGGCCAAGCATGTCTTCAGACCGAAACCCTATTGAGCATCTGTGGGGCATCCTCAAACGGAAGGTGGAGGAGCACAAGGTCTCTAACCTCCACCAGCTCTGTGATGTCGTTATGGAAGAGTGCAAGAGGACTCCAATGTTAACCTGTGAAGCTCTGGTGAACTCCATGCACTAGAGGGTTAAGGTAGTGCTGGAAAATAATGGTGGCCATAAAAAAATAATGACACTTCAGGCCCAGTTTGGACATTTCTACTAAGGGGTTCACTTATGTTGCCGGCGGTTTGGACATTAATGGCTGTGTGATGTGTTATTTTGAGGGGACAAATTTACACTGTTATACAAGCTGCACACTCACTACTTTACATTGTAGCAAAGTGTTATTTCTTGAATGTTGTCACATGAAAAGTTATAATCAAATATTTAAAAAAATGTGAGGAGTGTACTCACTTTTGTGAGATACTGTAAATGTGTGTACATTTTCTTTCAGTTTTCATCCATCCATCCTGTCAACATGTCTACATTATGGTTGGAGACTCTTCTCAGTGGATTTACACAAACACAAATCCAGGGATTTTGAAATGTGAATTATGGTGACAGAAATAGTTTTGAAAAATCTTATCGCTAGAAGCTAGATAGATGGTAGATTTAAGTGTTGGCTGTTGGTAAGTTGATTAATAACATGCCCAACAATTTCTTTCCCAGAAGTCTTTCCTCAGAGGCAAGGTATTTTCTTTTATCTTGGTTTAATGTAGAGGAGAGTGTACACCGTAAAATTTAGCTTGCAAATCATCTGGTTATATAATTTTTTTGAGGTGGGGTGTATTAATACTGCCCTAAAAATAAAAAAGAACTAACAAGGAGAAAAAATAGAAAAGGCTCATCTCTGGTTGGGCCTTGTGGATGAAGAGGCCAGGCCCGAGTTTTGATTTGTTGTTTTTTGGTCTTCTTTCTCCTTTTTCCTTGCTTTATCTGCTTTTTCCTACCTTAGACCATCCCCAGACCCTCAATATGTTCAAAAGGAAATCATTTCTTATAGCAGTATTTCAAATTTGTCTTTGTGAAGTTATATAAAGTCAAAAGGTGTTGATTGCTTTATCAAAAGGTTTATCTTAAAGCTATTACACACAGAGTAATTACAGTAGCCATGAAAGGGCAGCACATAGAAGGAATTTAGATATGGACCATTGGGTACGCATGCAACCATGCATGAATATACTATTTAGAGTATTTCAGTGTTGGGTAACTCCCAGTGACATTGTATCTTGGCTGCAAATACAATAAACCTTCTTCTCGATTTTTGTTGTCATTGCAGGCTATCTGTTTGGTAACAGATGATGGTCCGTGCATTGCTGAATTATTAAAGTATATCAGTAACACTGGCTTATTGTATTATTTTGTACCAGCAATTCTGTCCCAAATGAGTTTATGCCCTCAAGCTGACAATCAGTGGTGGAATATAACTAAGTGCATTGTACTATACCTTCTATTCCACTACACTTATCTGACAGCCATTACACCTGCTCTACCTCAGCCAACTTCAACTGTTCAATGCTGGTTATGTGTTTAATGCATCAGGAATGATAATGTAATGATAAAATATCTATGACTGAATACTTACAATAAATGATTACTTTTACTTTTTACATTTTGCTAATATAAATCTATTCAAGTGCTGAGCCGCAGCAGCAGTTACATCAGACAGCAAATCCTGACAGAGGAGGCACCGACACCTGTCATGATTCAACATGGTTAAATCTACTACAAATCTCTTTTACATGCCTGCTAATTTTCTTGAATTTCCCTTGGGATAAATGAAGAATCAATCAATCAATCAATCAATCAATCAATCGCATTATTTTTTGTTTGTTTAATTGTGTACAATAAAATGTTGTTGAATTTCTCAACGGTGTCTGAATAAGGGTAGAAGTTTAAATTGCTTTCCTACAGCAATATGCCCAGACTTCATCTACTCATCTAGTGTGTCATCTTCCTGCTAATTCAACGCGGATACTTCCTGCTGCATAAAAGCTTTGCATGAGCAAAGCCCCATGGAGACCACAACTGGCAAGCAACTACAGAAAATGCGTTGCATTTGTTTTTCCTCGAGGGGAGCAGGTTTAAATATTGCAAGAAGGAATAGTGCAAGCAGAAACTGCCACGCTGTGCTGTAGCTGCAGGCAGCAGGGTCATCCATACATCATCGAGGTGAACAACTCCTTGATGGGTGTTGCTCATGGCGTGACAAAGGAGTGTCCTAACCCTAACCCTGCCCTAAATCTATTGATCTGTATTGTCCATATGTTGGTCTTTTACATTAGAAGGTGTGTCTTCTTTTCCACAAAGGTGTTCAAATGCTATGGGCTATTTCTCTGAAAATCTCTTTTTTTTATATTTGCACAAAGTGATCTTTGCCCGTCCTGGCAAAGGTCTGTGACCAAGTAACCGCATTTGCTCAAGTAGGCCTACTGTACTTAAAGACACTATAAAGGTATTTGTACTTTCCATTTTATGCTGCTTTATACTTTGTACATTGTACTTATTACTCCACTACATTTGATAGCTTTAGTCACTAGTTGTTTTTTGGCAATTCAGATTATTAATACAAAATATAAATTAACAAATACATTCTGATGTATTGTTATGAATTAAACTATCCAGCAGTGTATAAGCTAATACAATTAGCCCCAGTTTTACTAGCTGCAACATTAGTTATGGTTACACATGAATCCATCAGTAATTATAATTTGATGAAATACATTATTTTGAAATGGACCATTCTACATAGTGAGTGCTTTTACGGTTGGTATTTTTTAAGTATGTTTTAATTACTGTTGCGCTTTTACTTAAGTAACTTTAACAGAGTATCCTATTTGCATTTGGTTTAAATATCTGAATCAGATCCAGATTTAACCCTTTCCCATGTTCCTGAAGGTGCAATCTGTACATACCTGTTAAAACAGTATAAGCCTACAGTACTGAAAGCCTGCATAGCTGCCCTCACATGTTTTTTTCTCTTAAAAGCATCCTGTGAAGGCTTATTGTGAATATGATTTAAGGTGTGGGACTCAGAACAAAGCAGGGCTGTGAACTTGTGAACCTGGCTTACAAGTCCTGACGTCAAAAAATGAGTCTTATGATAGCTTCCATGTCCAGCAGTTTGTGTTTGACAGGAGGAATTAACCACCGTTGAACCATACAGGACGGTTCATCACACACCTGGTCTCATTATTCCCTACCATTATTTCCTCTCTACTTCCCCTTTTCAGGTGTGTGTGTGTGTGTGTGTGTGTGTGTGTGTGTGTGTGTGTGTGTGTGTGTGTGTGTGTGTGTGTGTGTGTGTGTGTGCATGCTTGAGTGTGTGGATTTGTGTGTGTTGCAACGAGGATTAACCTAGTACTTCAGCTGATGCTGATTGGAATGACGTTCAACACTCACACAGGCTGGCTTTTGACAAGAAGGAGAGACTGGACGTTGTGTGTGGGGGGGGCTGAGACAGAAGAAAAGAGGACACCGTGATTACAATTTAATGTCAACATGACGGTGAGGCTGCCCTCTTTTTTTATCTCTTACATTTCTCTTTGTGCAAACACACACACAATGAAGGCTAAGTACACCATGTAGGCACCATGTACCTGGCATGGTGCCTTTTGTGCCAGCAGATTTCAGGTGGCTGTAAATGGGTTAGTTAGACACTTCATGATGTTTATATTTCACCTTACTGGTTTTCTAAATTTTGTCACTTCACTTCTATCTGTGTTCCTCTCCTATTCCTCTTTGGCCCTCTTATAAATATGCATCAAGGAGTCTTGGATTAGGGGCAAGGATCCTTTTCTAAAGCTCTGTGTGTGTGTGTTTGGGGGAGAGCATGTGTGTGAGCGGGTGCATGCACGCTTGAGTATGTGTGTTTGTGTCTTAAGCCAGGCAGAGCAAGAATACGGCCTGCTGTAAGCCCAGGCATGTGTCATTTATGTGATTGGGTTTCGACTGCGTTGATGTGTGACGTCTTGGACACTAGATGACCAGACGCTCCATGGACAACGCAGACTGTCCTGCTAAAAATATCAAGGTAAGAGCACACTGCCTGTCTTTTTACATCCCATAATTTCATTATCAGCGGGTTCATCATTTACAATCACTGTTTACTCCAATCAGGTCTCGGCTATACATTTATACTTGCTGCCATCTCGCTAAGATATACATATGTCGTGCATGTGTGCAGGCCAGGGTCCAGTGACACTAGGTGAGAGGTGTTTTTTGTTTTTTGAAGCTCTAGTGCAAGTTGAATCTGCTTTTGTGGCCTCGCATATCATTCATTTATGCTCATCTGTATTATTTCCATAATTATTAGGCATTTGAAATTGGACTGGTTATAATTTGTGAGATTTGGGAAACAAATCAGACTTCCAGACTTGGAGTTATTGGTATGTTTTAATGTATAATTTGAAATGTGTGATATGCACAAATGTAAGATCAAATCCAAAGTATTTATTTTACACTAAGGCTAAAAGATTTACGTAGCTTCTTTCTGTATTAAATGAAATAAAATTTATATGTAAATGGCACGATGATTCATCCCCTGTGTTTAGTAAGGAAAACCGTGTTTCATTTTCTGCTATTTAAATGTCTGTATTGTATAGTACAAGAGACACTCAGAGAGGGAAAACCACATTAAAGCTTGCTGTTTTAACAACCATCTGTTCATCCATTAGCTATCTCTCTATTATTCGTTTTGGTGCGCACTGAAGAAAGAGTTGTGTTTGGTAATAACTTCAAATTTTTATATTACCAGGAACTGCCTCACATTTCAGCTTCCACTGTTCACTGTGCACAAAATGTGGGCATAAAGCCATTAACTTTTCAAGAAATCCCAAAATATTAACAAAATGCAAGCCATAACCCTTAACCACCCACAGGTCATGCCTCTGCCACTTGTTAAATGGAGCCTCAGTATTGTACTTTACAGACTTTTAATTGTCCCCTCTGAAATCTATCGGGGCAAGGACAATTATTACAGAACACAGCCTATGCCCTTAATTTCTAAAATAATTAATGAGGTGGTAATGTTTGCAGCTAATGGTGGCCTGGAAAACATCTCAGAGATGCTGTGTATAATGTAACTCCCACCTGTAACACACATCATGACTGTAAGGCCATTAGTTTAGGCTTAGCAAAATGTGCTAGGCTTTATGCTGAGGGCATTAGAATGATGCCATGGGCATTTCAACATCACCTGACTCCAATGAGCGAAAACATGTTTTCTTCTCGCCTTATGATGTACTGTTTTCATTGTCATTGTTAGTTTATCTGCCTCATCAGCCACGTCATGTTGCTTTTGAAGACCTGTCATATCTTGCTAAAAGAGATGCTCGATAACTTACTGGATGTCCAATCAAGTGTTAAATAGAGAAACACATCTGCTCTGTAATGAACACTAACAACATTTGTGTCACTACCTTCTGAATGTCAGACTTTACAATATAATTATGTAATGTCCACTGTACTTGACCTGCTGAACCTGTAGTATTTGAACCCTTGTCGTCACTACACTGAGATCAACAACCGCCTGTAATCTGTCCTTGGATGCTCTATGGGTTGTCTTTATTTTTAGTGGCTGCACGTCACTGAAGTTGGGGGATGCTCGGCCATCCCAGGGAGAATTTATATCAGTACTTAAGGCGTAAGTAAGACATCAAGCACCTAAGGTGTGTTGGCACCCTATTGTTTTGGTAGGTTGTGGTACTGCAGTCTAGCAGTCTGGGATAGCGTAGAGGCTTGTGTTTAGTAGCCCATAGAACCTTTTTTTCACTTTATGGCAGCCAATGTGATGTTGCAACTACAGTATGATAAGCATCTTAACCACTACTCCACCAGATAGCCCATTACCAGCAATTTTAATGAAAACTGGCACACAGACACCATCTTCTGCCATCTACTTCCCTTTTGTGCTATGTTTATATGCAAAGATTTTCATTTGGCCGCTGAGTTTTATCCAAAACAAAGTGTTTGGGTCACAGTCGAATTTATAGAATATTTATAGGCACATTTTCAGCAGTGCGTTGAGTGTCACACCACACCAATAAACTTAAAAAGTATTTACATTGAGTACTGTAGATCATGATTCAGAAATTTAGTTTAGGCATTTTCAACCAGAGAAATCAAACAGAACTGTATGTTTTATAGTTAAAGTTATAGTTAGTTATAGTTAAACAAAAGTGCCATTCAGCCACAAGGTGATGAATCTGACTTTACGTTAAATTGGTTTGAAGATGATGAAACATATTACAAATTCTTGGAGGTTTAATCATCAGTCAGTTAAAAACACCAATAAACAGAATTTGACTTATCACCCAATAGATTATATGTTTATTATAGCCAGCAGTGAGCAGGAAAGGTTTAACAAAAAGGATGTACTTGAGTTCTTAAAAGACAGTTTACAGTAATAAGATCATTTTCCTATTCAAATGTGTGAACAGTTTAAACATTACTGCATTTCTGTTACTAACACACATCCTTTATTTCAGAGCATTTGACTGTGACAAAGGTGTCACTGAAGACACAAACAGAAAGCTGTCATTAATCAGCTAAATGTCTCAGAGGGCAGACAAGTCTTCATTGTGCTTGTTGGTGATGTATGTCTGCTCACTGCGTCTTCTCTTGGCTCCCAGATTACTGCTTGTAACTTTATTGGATGTTTTGAATTGCAATCTCATATGTAAGATCAAGAGAAAGGAGGTTAAGGTACAGACTAGGATGAGGAAAATGTTCTATACTGTAAGTGCATACTATTATTGAAAAATGACAATATAAAGCTGAGACAAATCAAAGCAGGGGTTTGTGAGTCTGAAACAGTGACATTCCTGTTTATACGATAATAGCAATAACAGGAGTACAACAAAACTAATGACGGTAAACCACAGAAACTTGTACATTACACAGCAAATTTTAAACAAATGAAAGGGGAATGTACGGTAGAAAGTCCTTTACCTGCATGGCCACACGTGTTTGAGCCATAGACTGTGTGGACGTCACACATGGGTTTGTGGACTGCACTTTTGAAGCTTTGGCTGCCATCTTGGTTTTCCAGAAGTGACCATATTTGGACGAGAGGGTGGTGCTAGCTAGCTCGGATGCATCCGGAACGTTAATTCACATTAACTGTGATGCTAAGTCCACAGCAACTACCCCCGCCACGTGTGAGGTTGATTGGATGAGCAGTTCTTGACATAATCAAAATACAAACACACACACACACACACACACAGATTCTTGCATTTATTAGAGAGATGAACTGAAAACACACTGTGAAAGGGATAAAGTTATGAGGCAAAAACATAGACTGCACCCAAAAACAAGTTCACAGCTAGTAAAATGTACACAGTGCAGTGGATACGATTCGCCTCTATCCTGTTGGACAGTGCACTGTGTTAGTGACTTGTCAATCAGAAGGTAGCCACGTTCTAAAGCATGCCCTGCTTTATTGTCTATTTTTCTTTAAATGGGACCATGATTTATGAAATGAACATCATGCTGTACTATTGAAGATTTGAAACTAGCGATTAAGGCCTTAAACTCATTGGGGAAGTGTTTACTGATGTAATACATCAATACATTTTGTCACTGACTCCAGTGCAATCAGACTTATTTTCTGCAAGGGTTAGGGTTATGACAGGGCCAACAGACAGATTTTACACAGTCGTGATAGAAGTGAAAGGGCCATAATTTAATAATGCTGACGTTAACATTTACCACATTTACCTCCTGTCTTGACCACTGAGCAGAAAATGGAAGTAAATTTGTCCTTCAGGGCAGGTTACTGTGCATGTCTCGACTATTTGCCACTTAAAATGTGTTTGCATGTCTACTTATTAGGCCGCCCCTCACTCTGGTACATGTAAAAGGGTTTTTTTTCTCTCCTGGGAGTAGTTTCCTCTTAAAGTACCGACCAGTTTAGTGTTGTTTGTGCAGATGTGGCGACAGTGTAGAGGCTTTCAGACCTAGCAACCTAATGGCACTAAACAGTTTCTCCCCCTCCCATGTCTATCTGCACTGTTTATTTTTCAATTAGCCAGGGCTCAAGTTGGCATGGTGTCAGGTGGGCATGGGCAGCTATAGCACACACTTGTGAAGTACAATAGAAAATCTACAGCGCAAAACAAGGATTTCATAAATTAGCACTCATGAATTATTATGCCAGGTTGGTCTCTCTCTCTCTCTCTCTCTCTCTCTCTCTCTCTCTCTCTGCGCTCCTACTGTATGTGTTTATGTCAATGAAAGAAAGAGTTGCATTGCTCTTTGTGTGTGAGTGAATGGGACAAAATGTTTGCGTCCTTTTGGGTGTATCAGTAAGTTTAGAGTGATCCCACTAAATGTGTGAGTAAGGAATTGTGTGTGTGTGTTTCACAGCACATGTTCATATATGTGTGTGCGTTCTCCTAAACTATTGAGGTTTGAGTGGAAGCAAATTACTGCTGAAAAATTCAACTGAAACAATTTCCTCCACAGTTATCCATGCATAACAATAGTTAATGTTCTTGTTATTTTTTCCAAATATTTGGACAAATTGTATATTGGAGTTTCTTAAAACTTTCATGCCATTGAATTGAATTGAGTTGAATTGATACAACAGATAGACAAACAGACACATAGACAGTAGATCCAGACCATTAAATTGGCCCTGACAGTATATAGGCCAACATTACCGAATCGCAGATCTGTAGCAAAGTAAATGTTGGCCAATTAGAAACTGGTAATAGTGAAAAGTAGTAAGAGATTGCAGTAAGTAATTTGGAAACAGTGTCTTCATTACATAGTTTGTCCACCAAACGGCACTTACAACTTCAAATTCTCTAATAAAATGTTCACCCTCAAAAAATGGACTATTGGTTGGGCTCAGACAGACTGACAGCGGTCCGAGTTAAATTCTCTGTCAGGTGTTTCACATAGTGAATAAACTTGAACAGATAAGGAAAGTTGGCTAATAGAGGAAGTCTACGACTGTCACGAGCCCAAAACTATTCAGGAAACCCCCCGCCCCAAGAATTGCCAAATTAGACCCTGATAAGCACATTATTTTTACTCTACCATTCCTGACATCTATACCTCAAACTATATGCTGTTGGTCTGTGATAGCAAACAGCAAGGTTACAGGAGCTGGCATAGAGCCCAAAGCTTTAAGAGTTGTTTCAGAGTAAAAGTTACACTGAGCAGGCGCCCTTCGGGATCTCTTGGGGATTTCAGAAACAAATGATCTGATATATGCCAAGACTTTCAAATTCCATTACGAAATATAGTTTAAGTACCCATTCAACATTTCATAAATAGCAATAAGGATTGCTCTTACTTAAGCGTGTGATTGCAAATAAAGTTTATGCAACATGAGTATGCGTGAGAAAGTGTTGGTGCATGCATGTTTGTGCTTGTGTCTGTCTGGACTCCTGTGTTTGCTTGTGCACATGAAAGATGAACTGCAGTCGAACTACAACACAGACAGAGTTGTGGACCGTTTTTGCAAAGTTTTTGTTTTTTTATTTCTTTAAAACTGAATATTTATTATTTTCTGG